ACCCATGTACACAGTCTGTATACCATGGAGAAACGGGCCAGAAAATCACTCGCCTTTAACCACCATTACCTATAACGAATTGTTTACGCGGCGACTCGTCCACCGGGTGGTTGGTTTCTCGCGCAGTTGTGTCGTCAAGAGTTGTTGTTGTTAAAGATTCGCTACATGGAACAAAGTTCCAAGTAGCACGGGCTATGGCGAGCCCGTAGTGTCTTTCGTCAAGAGATAATTACCTAGATGTACGCAGATGGTTCGGTCCGCGTAACGAGTCTCATAACGGCGTATGGTTCGTCGGTGGCGTTACGTAACAGGTGTTTAGGGCAGGTCATTAACTTCGGACCATTAACACAGCTCCCCCCCCCCCGTCCCCTGACAGGGGGAGGGGGAGCTTAGATGATAAGCCCCGAAATCGTCTCAAGATAAGAGAATGTCAATCCAAGTTTGCATTTGCAGTGTTATCAAGGTTAAAACAAGAACATTAACAACGTTAAATTTAACGGAATCAACACCAGAAGAAGTAACTGAATAAACAACTAATTAATAACAATAATAACATGGCTAACAGGAGAGTTAAACTTACGAACATCTGAGACTTACAGAGATTTAACAGCGCGGAAGTTGTAAAAAAACATTGAACCTAACCTTACAGCCAACACACGAGTCATAAACACAAATCCATCACATAAGTAGAATTAGAAATATCCATGTAAACAAAAAAAATTGTCAGGAGCTCGAGGTGGCAACAAGAAGGAGCCACACAGACGGGAAACTGCCGACACTGGCGCCATAACGCCACTTGCGGTTCGCCGCCCCGCCGCTAGGCTCATATGTTAATATTTTCGCTGCGTTGTGTAACATTTGACTTACAAATGGGGAAGATATATTTTTTTTACATCATGTTAGTGTTCTTTATTTGGGAAGCTTTTAGTGTTAATTTTTGGCGATAATCAATCATGTTATTTTTGTGAGGTTGGGTGTTAATTGGTGATTTGGTGATCTGACAGTTATGGCTGATGTTTGGTGACCGTTAATGTTGACCTGACAGTTATGGCTGATGTTTGGTGACCGTTAATGTTGACCTGACAGTTATGGCTGATGTTTGGTGACCGTTAATGTTGACCTGACAGTTATGGCTGATGCTTGGTGACCGTTAATGTTGACCTGACAGTTATGGCTGATGTTTGGTGACCGTTAATGTTGACCTGACAGTTATGGCTGATGTTTGGTGACCGTTAATGTTGACCTGACAGTTATGGCTGATGTTTGGTGACCGTTAATGTTGACCTGACAGTTATGGCTGATGTTTGGTGACCGTTAATGTTGATCTGACAGTTATGGCTGATGTTTGGTGACCGTTAATGTTGACCTGACAGTTATGGCTGATGTTTGGTGACCGTTAATGTTGACCTGACAGTTATGGCTGATGTTTGGTGACCGTTAATGTTGATCTGACAGTTATGGCTGATGTTTGGTGACCGTTAATGTTGACCTGACAGTTATGGCTGATGTTTGGTGACCGTTAATGTTGACCTGACAGTTATGGCTGATGTTTGGTGACCGTTAATGTTGACCTGACAGTTATGGCTGATGTTTGGTGACCGTTAATGTTGATCTGACAGTTATGGCTGACGCTTGGTGACCGTTAATGTTGATCTAATATAGTTTGAACTTATCGGCGGTGTTCCCAACAAATTCTAATTTAATTTAAGACTTCGGCAGAAATAAATATAAGACTTAGCTAACGTCAGTCATATTTAATTGACAGTTTATTCAAATATAACATTGAAAACTTCCCCCATAGAAGAGTTAAGACTGAAGACTTCTTTCTATAACATATAACGTACGACTGAAGACTTCTTTTGGGCACCTAGAAGATTCCAAATCTGTACTCAGTACTACATAAAAGACGACGTCTTAAGTCCTTTCTAGAACATATCAAATTGTATAGAAACTTATGATCCCTTTTGAACAGATAAAACATTACACAAGTGATTAGACTTATTATGACCTCTCTGGAAAGGCTAAACAATTCAAACAGACAAGAAGAAGACTAGCATCAGGCTTCGGTCAGTCTTTTCTTGATATTTTAAAATTAAATTTTTTTATGTTTGTTAATGCATAATTAGTGTTGCTTTTTTTACGTTTTAAAATAAGTTTTTTTGTTATAGTTAAGTCTAAAAAAAGTCTTTAGGAGGTAGATGAGGTTTTAAGGAGGTTTTGAGGTAGATTTTTTATAGTTAAGTCTAAAATAAAAAGTCTTTAGGAGATAGATGAGGTTAAGTAGTTAGTTGTGTGGCGGAATGGAAACTTAACTGTCAGTTTAATTTAAGTCTGAACCAGACTTTGGTGCCATAGACAAGACTTTGTAGACTTAGATATGGCAGCGTGACACAGCTGTACTTCACCCCCCCACCCCCCACCCTGCTGTTGGAGGTTGTCATGTGTGTCAGTGCCACGGTCTGTGACGTCAGTGCCACGGTCTGTGACGTCAGTGTCACGGTCTGTGACGTCAGTGCCACGGTCTGTGACGTCAGTGTCACGGTCTGTGACGTCAGTGCCACGGTCTGTGACGTCAGTGCCACGGTCTGTGACGTCAGTGGCACGGTCTGTGACGTCAGTGTCACGGTCTGTGACGTCAGTGCCACGGTCTGTGACGTCAGTGCCACGGTCTGTGACGTCAGTGTCATGGTCTGTGACGTCAGTGCCACGGTCTGTGACACATGAGTGAAAGCTAAATAGCTTCTTACCTGTGCTCTAAGTGCTCGAGGTGTCCTCAGCCCTCTCTCTGTATGTAAAAGACACTTCGAACACTTTATGTAAGGCATACGTAAATCTGTGTATCTATGTATTTACGTATGTAGGTTAGCTTAGCATTTTAAAAGCACCGAATCACCTTCTGTGGTTGATTGTTCAACAAACCCTTGAACTATATGTTTAACACATCTCTAACCCTGTCCATGGAGGACAGAAGAAAATGTATATATGCTGGTTAGCATTGTAAATGTCCGGCTACGTCTGTGGTAGAAAAATAATAATAATAAAAAAAAAACTGATAATGTCAGCCTTAGCATTTTCCCTCCTGGTATATGTCAGCAAAGTAAATACGAGTGATATTTGATTTAAATACCAAATCGTAGTGTGGAATTTGCTATTATTTTTTGTCTGGCATTGGGATGTTATCTGTATATATATATATATATATATATATATATATATATATATATATATATATATATATTATATATATATATATATATATATATATAAAAGCCTGTTTTCTCTCTCTTGCTTTGTCACTGTGTACAGTATTCTACCTCTTAGCCTGAGCCCAGATTCACGAAATAGTTACGCAAGTACTTAAGAACGTGTACATCTTTCCTCAATCTTTGACGGCTTTGGTTACATTTATTAAACAGTTTACAAGCATGAAAACTTGCCAATCAACTGTTGTTATTGTTATAAACAGCTTCCTGGTGCTTATGCACTCATTAACTGTCTTAATTAGTGTAAACAAAACCGGCAAAGATTGAGGAAAGATGTACAGGTTGGTAAGTGCTTGCGTAACTGCTTCGTGTATCTAGCCCCTGACCAGTAATGTGTGTACCCTAACCTCAGCCATCACGGGTCCGGGCCACAGAAAACGTGGAGTAACTCTTCCTAGTTAGTTGTATTTGGGTCGTTAGTTACGCAAATAAAGAAAGAAATAGGTCAACTCTCAAGACCTATTACGCGAGAGCTGATATAAGAAACATGGAGCCTTGTACAGTATATGAACGAAAAAAATTAGCCTTAACTGAAAGTCCAAGGTTTGTTTCCCCCCACGAATGACTACTTCCCTCTTTATTTACTCTTTGGGACCAAATTGGTGCTTTATCTAAGACTGGCCGAAACGCTGCGCGTACTAGTGGCTTTACAAGAGTGTAAATACTGCACTATGCTATGTATTCTCACAAACCCAATGTACCTTGTATATATATAAATAAATAAATCAATAAAAACATGGGAGTAATACAGATTTTCGTATGTTACGTATTCATTCAGGCGAACATGCGTAGTTCAAGTATGTTTACTGAGACAAGAAAGAAATACATCTCAAAGGGATAGAGTAGCTTAGGCTATTTCTACCTACCTTAATGCGTAGCTTCACTTCCCTCTACGTAATGGAGTGTACCTGATGGGCGGGAAACAGAGGGGCAACTGAGAGAATATGTCAACGAGGAAGAAATTTGTTTTGTAGAGTCTATGGAAACTGTTCCTTGAGACATTCTGTTCCTGAACTGTGTTATTGGGTGGCTTGAAGCCTTGTCCTCCTCCGTCCTCCGGTCACACACACACACACACACACACACACACACACACACACCACACACACACGCACACGCCACACGCACACGCACACACACACACACACATGCACACACACACTACACACATGCACACACACACACACACATGCACACACACACACGCACACACACACGCACACACACACACACACACACACACACACACACACACACACACACACACACACACAGGTGAGAAGGTGGTGGAGGCCAAAACCGTCAGCTTTCAAAGCGTTATACGACAAAGAGTACTGGGAAGACGGGACACCACGAGCGTAGCTCTCATCCTGTAACTACACTTAGGTAATTACACGCACACACACACACACGCACACGAGTATGCGTATATGTGTGTGTGTGTGTGTGTGTGTGTGTGTGTGTGTGTGTGTGTGTGTGTGTGTGTGTGTGTGTGTGTGTTAAAGAACAAAATAATTTGTTATTGTCTTACTAATCAATTACATATCAACTACAATTGTTCTGGGCTTCTGCTAGACCTTTCTTGCTTCGTTTGATTTGATCCTTAGTTACATATTTCCTCTGTTGAATCTATGTACTTTTGTTGCTTTGAGTTACATAAAAAACGAATTTTTGTTTATGTGATTATGTTTGGTTGTAGAAGCATGTTATGACAAGCCGATTGCACGGTCGTTACAGCGAGGTGATTGGCTGGCCGCGTAGTGACGTATCGTGACGTCAGCGATGAGTCACCTGCGATTGGTCGGAGCCATCGCGGTGCTCCCGCCCCTTCCCGCCCACAGACTACAGGTAAGTCCCGCCCACTGCACCCATGACGTCACGTCACCCCTGCAGCTGACACCTTTCCCCTCACCACACACTAGAAGGTGAAGGGACGACGACGTTTCGGTCCGTCATGGACCATTCTCAAGTCGATTGTGAGAATGGTCCAGGACGGACCGAAACGTCGTCGTCGTCCCTTCACTTTCTAGTGTGTGGTCTGGTCAACATACTTCAGCCACGTTATTGTGACTCCTCGTCTGCACATGCGCACTTAAACACACACTACGAATGTCAGTTAAATCAGAGGTATTACAGGTAGGCGTCAACTAGCACTTGAGTGCATACATGAGTCGGTTATAACACTTGTCTGTGGACAACGAGTTTAGGTCTACCGCTTAAGTGCAACAAATGTACTCTGCTGTTTGAGTACGGTTAACGTAATCTACCGCTTGAGTGGTGGTTTTAGATTCAGCTACTTAGAACAAAAGTTCCAAAGTAGCACGGGCTATGGTGAGCCCGTAGGGTTCTTGTACCCTGTGAACTTGTAAATATCTTGACGCGCCAGGTCGACGCAGTTGAGTGCATTTCACTTGTCAGTCACTCGCACAGGGAACGAGTACTTCCGGAGAGTGGAGCACTCGCTGCTCCAGTGTTCCATACTCCGGGGAGCTCTATAGAAGATATAATTCTATAGAAAACAACGGCCATTTGTTTTCCGATGCTGTCTACATTGCATCAGAAAACGGATGGTTTTATTTAACTCAGTTATCCCTCTAGCGATATTTAGTGTCTTTGTAATACGTTTTCCTTTAATGCCTCATGGTTCAGGGTAAACTCAAATAGTGAGTTTGTGAAATGGTTTCCCATACTTTTTTATCGTAAGCCGGAAGCCTGTTCGCCTTATCAAGTTCTCATTAGTGCCAACGACTGACCTTTTCCCATAGGATGCAACCCAACAACAGTTGACTAACTCGGGTACCTATTTGCTGCTAGATGAACAAAGGTGAAAGGAATCGTTCCCAATCCGCCCTAATCCGTCCGGGTATTGGATCCGGTCACTGGTTTACAGAGCCCAATCAGACTTGCAGCTCCCCAGACAATGAGAGACTTTAGGAAATTGTATTTTGAATGGTATATACCATACTGTTCTCGGGTATTTCTTCCAGTAAGTTGTGTGTGTGAGTTGATCATTGGATTCAAGAACCAAAAAGTATTTTGTTTCATTGTGTTGAGGATTTTATTATTTTTTATCCATTGATATACTTTGTTTAATTGGGCTGTGTTGACAAGTGTTTGTAACCCAGATTGTCCTGTCTCTTGATGATGGTGAATCTCTCTCTCTCTCTCTCTCTCTCTCTCTCTCTCTCTCTCTCTCTCTCTCTCTCTCTCTCTCTCTCTCTCTCTCTCTCTCTCTCTCTCTCTCTCTCTCTCTCTCTCTCCACTACCGCCCACAAGATGGGTATGGGGGTGCATAATAAATTAACTAAATTAACTAACACGAATCTCGATATATATATATATATATATATATATATATATATATATATATATATATATATTATATATATATATATATACGGTTAAGGGGTTAGTATATACAGTTTCTCAGTGAATATTCAGTGATACTAGTGGTATAAATAATTAAAAATACAATCAAGGTTAATCATACAATTGATTGATACAATCAATCAGTGGTTAATTAAACATAACCACTGACTGATACAATCTTCTACACATCAGCCGCTCATAACATTCTCAATTATATTGCAAGGTTACATCATGTTAATAGTGCAATGGTGCAACACATATTAGCAGAGGAGCTATCGTCTAGTTCCCGACAGCCTACGATACTAAGATAGCCACGGGTAGTGGCAAGATAGCCACGGGTAGTGGCAAGATAGCCACGGGTAGTGGCAAGATAGCCACGGGTAGTGGCAAGATAGCCACGGGTAGTGGCAAGATAGCCACGGGTAGTGGCAAGATAGCCACGGGTAGTGGCAAGATAGCCACGGGTAGTGGCAAGATAGCCACGGGTAGTGGCAAGATAGCCACGGGTAGTGGCAAGATAGCCACGGGTAGTGGCAAGATAGCCACGGGTAGTGGCAAGATAGCCACGGGTAGTGGCAAGATAGCCACGGGTAGTGGCAAGATAGCCACGGGTAGTGGCAAGATAGCCACGGGTAGTGGCAAGATAGCCACGGGTAGTGGCTATCTTAGTATCGTAGTAACAGTCTTAATAATGGAATAAATATAGATATTTTACACAAAGACTGATGCAGTTACATTTGTGCTTTGGTCCACCGTGCTCTTATAAGAACACCATGTTTAGACACGCTTACTTACGGGCTCACCATAGCCCGTGCTACATGGACACTTCGTTCTGAGTAGCTAAATCTGAAACAACAACTCGCTTAATCTAGCTTAAATACGTGTTACCGAAACGGGCGTCGATCTTGGGGCCTGAAATTGTGCTCGGGTTAATTTCATTGTCCTGTTTCCGCGGTAAAGCCTTGAGGATTGGGGAGTGGGAGGGGGGGAATAGGTTTGGTGGGATTGGGGAGTAGGGCAGGAGACCGTTATGACGCACAGGAGGGTGTTGGGGCGGCCGGTTAAGGGATTGGCTTTGCCATAGATGCGACCTTGGTTCGCTGGGGAACGACCCAGTGGAGTCTAAAACCTGTATCGCCGTGAACCTTGTGACGTCATAGTGACGTCACAGATCTCTTGTACACCCAAAATTAAAAAAAAATGTTTTTTAGCTTGTTTTCTTTAGGCTAGGCTAGACTAGGTGTAATTACCTAGTTGTAATCATCTAGTGCTTGCTGGGGTTGAGCTCTGGCTCTTTGGTCCCGCCTCTCAACTGTCAATCAACTGGTGTACAGGTTCCTGAGCCTATTGGGCTCTATCATATCTACATTTGAAACTGTGTATAGAGTCTGCCTTCACCTCATCATATATATATAATATAATATATATATATATATATATATATATATATATATATATATATATATATATATGATGTAATGGTGTATTTACTCATTTATAAAGAGACTGTTGATGTATTTATATGATAGGTGATATGGGGGAGAGCTAGTAGCTTTCAATGTGATACCTAACCATCCCCCCCCCCCTTCTCGCAGGCTAGTTAGTCATTCAGGGACATATGTGGTCACTAGTCTGTACTAGGAAACTTTGGATGAAGTATGAGGATATCCCCAAGAACATAAAAGAGTTAGTAATGAGGATTGCAAAGCTGCAGGGACCTCATACTGCCCGCTGTGACGGGTGTGGTAACGCCTGTGACGGGTGTGGTAACGCCTGTGACGGGTGTGGTAACGCCTGTGACGGGTGTGGTAACCCCTGTGACGGGTGTGGTAACGCCTGTGACGGGTGTGGTAACCCCTGTGACGGGTCTCGTAACACCTGTGACGGTGAGTGAGTGATGTAGTGTATGAGAGCATGACCCAGTTTGCTGGTGGTAGAGCTCCCTGCACCTGGAGTGCTCAATGTTGGGAGCTTTGACACCTGTCGCCGCCTGCCACAGGTAACCTTAAACCCCACACCTGTCGCCGCCTGCCACAGGTAACCTTAAACCCCACACCTGTCGCCGCCTGCCACAGGTAACCTTAAACCCCACACCTGTCGCCGCCTGCCACAGGTAACCTTAAACCCCACACCTGTCGCGGGGCGAGGCGAGGAGGGAGGGAGAATCGTGGAGGGAGGGAAGGATGTAGGCAGGTATAAAGGTAAGGGAAAAGGGTGATATAGAGAGGAAGAGAAGGTCTTGAGAAGGGGTCAGGAGGAGGCAGAGATGGAGGGAAGTAAAGAGGGGGTCTTAGGGAGGAGGGGGTGAAGGGGGGGTTGCAACAATAAAGCCGCGGGGAGAACTGTATTTTTATTGAGTCATTGGAGGTGAGCTTTACCTTGACATTATCTCTTGCTATCTCACTTTCCACCTCCAGCTTCCTGCCTCCTTGTGCTGGTGCTGCCCCCTGGCGGCGCCCGCCCGCCCCTCCTCCCTCTCGGTACTGGTGTATAAATAAGCTTTTCTGGGTTACGGGTTCACCATAGCCCGTGCTACATGGACACTTCGTTACTGAGTAGCTCAATCTAAAACAACAAAAACTAGCAGAATATTTATTGGCCTATACGAGGCAGCAATGAACAAAATCAACAAGGTCCGTGACGAGGATTCGAACCTGCGTCCGGGAGCATCCCAGATGCTGCCTTAATCGACTGAGCTACGACATGGTCAAAAGAGTTGCAACCGAGTTGAAACATACAGCTCTTGTATGTTTCCACCCATACTCATTCATACACATGTCTCACCTACGCCGGAAACAATCCACCCTCCCCTTCGTATCCCCTTTGACTCGGTAATAATGGTTCGGTGCCCAGTCAATCCTCCCTACGCCAAGGGTTCGAACCTAGCAGGGTTTGTATCTCTAAAATACAGTTGAAAGGAAACTGTTTCCTTTCACCTCATGCCTCTTTGTACCCAGTAGCAAATAGGTACCTTGGAGTTAAGACAGCTTCAAACAGCTGCATCCTGGGGTTGGTCAGTAGTTGGGGGAGTAGATATTTACGCACACTCACACACTCAAACATGCTCTCACACACACACGCACTCACACACTCAAACATGCTCACATGTAAGGCGGGACCAAAGAGCCAAAGCTCAACCCCCGCAAGCACAATTAGGTGAGTACATACACACACGCTCTCACACACTCAAATATACTCTCACACACTCGAACATACTGTCATGTACACACACTCGCTCTCTCACACATATAGATTTGGTTATATATATATATATATGTATATATATATATGTCGTACCTAATAGCCAGAACGGACTTCTCGGCCTACTATGCAAGGCCCGATTTGCCTAATAAGCTAAGTTTTCCTGAATTAATATATTTTCTCTAATTTTTTTCTTATGAAATGATAAAGCTACCCATTTCATTATGTATGAGGTCAATTTTTTTTATTAGAGTTAAAAATTAACGTAGATATATGACCGAAC